AAGCAGTCATGTACAATGTAGTATCATGAAAGATACTGTGACAATGATGACTTTTGTGAAGTCTTATGATATTCGCGTTTCATTAACTCATTCTTTAATAAGTTACTTTGTTTTAGAATCTGTTCAAATGAAGTGCATGTGTTTCTTTTATAGATACATTGCTTGGTTGGTGCAAAATATAAAATAGACCACAGCCCATGCCAGGTCAACGCTAGTTCTCCCTTCTTTGCTGGAATAAAGGTAACAAATTCACTTGTCAATGAACACTATTCTTAGATTTTGCTCATCTTTCAGTTTAGTAGTGTTTTTAAGTTTAGTGTGAATTATTGGTGTTTGAACCACACAGACTTGTCACGTAGGTATATTTCATGAAGCGCGCTAGCGCTTCTTGAAAAATATTACTAACTGCATGTCTGTGTGATTCACACACCAATAATTCACACTAAACTTAAAAACATTCCTTATATTTACATTTTAAATGTTTGGAGGCACCAAAAATATACTCAAAATTTGAATTTCTCGCTGCCTTATATCGTTATACTTTAACAAACGTCTCTGTAGCCTTATTGTGATGTAACGCATCTTTCTCCTGTATATTTCTACCCATGAGTATACACGAAAATGGTTCTCAAATCAATTTCACTGTTGGCTTTGTTGAAAAACACAGCAAATATGCATTTTCATTATAAAGCTAATCTCACAATTCTTTTATTTTATGTAGGAGGTATATAGAGGCATGTAATTTATATCGATTTCTCAAATGATTCCGCGCTCTTTTTGGATCTTTATACATTGTTTCATAAATAGAGATATTAGTTTTTTAATTCCCGCTGCGAAGGAGAAGATGTTTAAACTGATTTTGCCTTTTTTCTGTCTTTGTTTCGGTCTGTCTGTCTAGCTGTCCGTTACTTTGTATCCATTTTCAAATCTGGTGTCAACTACTTGTATATTCCTGCGTGCTAGTATACCAAATTCCACTCGCATTTTTTTCACCGAGCAACAACTTATCGCAGAAGCTTGAAATTTTAACACACCCTTTGTTAAAAATGCTATGGGTTGCAATCATTTTTGTTTCGATCTGAAAACAACTGACTGTATATCCATGTGCCTCTCCATAAATTAGGGCCTTATTTTTTTTAATACAAACAGAACAGGGATATAACTAATGAGAATTGGCACACACATTTCTTGTTAAGTGAGAATTTAGATTAAACAGACCCTAAAAGTTGCTTCTGACTTTTTAGGTAAGAGATGGCATAGTCTTTTTTAGTTTACCTGAGCAGATCACCCGTTGACCGTCTGCCTGTCCGTTTGTCCGTCTATAAACTATTCATTTTTCCAACTTCTCCTCAAGAACCCCTGGGTCAATTTTAACCAACTTAGTATAAAGCATCCTTGGGTAAAGGAGAATTTAGATTGTTAAAATAAAGGGCGAAGTCTCGTTCCAAGGGGCGATAATCACGAAAATACAACAAGAGGCCCACGGACTTTATAGGTCACCTGAGTATCTTCCAATAACTTCCCAACAATTAAATTTGGGTGGTGTTTTAAATTAAATGCTATAAAATTCAAATTCTCAATTTTGAAAGAGGCACCGTTGCTTATCATAACCATATACTAACTAAAGATATTTGCATAAAACACAGGAAAAAAAGGAAAAGATTTTCAAAGAATTCTCGCAATTTCACTATTTAGTAATTCGCGCCCCGTCCTAGCGCTAAACCACCTGACCCAGGGTCCCTGCAATTCACAAATCTGGAAAATGCATCCCTCTTCATCATAACTATGTGCATAATTCATTGGTTTTAATACCCAGGAGCAGAGGAGAAGATTTTCAAAAAATAGTGCATTTTCACAATATAATCAATAGAACCCCTGAACCCCTCACTGGGTCTATGAAATTTACAATAATGGAAGAGACCGCCTTATTCAACATAACTAAGGACATGGTTAGTTTGTTTAATACTCAAGAGCAAAAAAGATTTTTTTTTTAGGAATTAATGTATTTTCGCCATATACATGTAATCAATAGAGCCCCGGCTTAACCCCAGAACCCCCGACCCAGGGACCATAGAATTCACAATATTGGAAGAGATATTCTTACTCATCATAACTATGTAAGTGATTAATTTGTTGAAATCCAATGAGCAGAAAATAAGATTTTCACAGAATTTCTGCATTTTCTCTATATAATCAATGAAGCCCCACCCTAACACCAGAACCCCTGACCCTGGGGCTATGAAATTCACAATTTGGGAAAATCAGCCTTATTCAACATAACTATGTGATTGCCAAGGTTAGTTTATTTAATGCCCATGAGGATAGGGTTTTCAAAAACATAAAGAATTTTCACGATGAATCTATTTAGCCCCGCCCTAGCACTAGAACCTCTGACTCTTGGGCCATAAATTTCACAATTTCGGTAGAGGACTCAATGCTAAAAACAAGCATGCCACCAGTTTAAGTGCTTGATGCCCAGGAGTAAAGGAGAAGATTTTTAAACGATTGAATTAATTTTAGTGGTTTTTGCCAGGCCCCTACGGGGGAAGGGGGTTTACATTGAAATATATTTGGAAAAACTTGAAAAGAAAGTTAAAAAATCTTCTTCTCCAGAACCACTGGGCCAGAAAAGCTGATACTTATGTGGAAGCATCCTGAGGTAGTTTAGATTTTAGATTCTTCAACTCATTACCCCCGGGGGTTGGACGGGGCCACAATAGGAAATCCATGTTTTCCATTGAAAAATAAAGGGAAAAAAAATTAAAATCTTATTCTTGTGAATTGCAAGGCGAGAAAAGCTGACAATTATGTTGAAGTATCTTAGGGTAGTGTAGATTCTAAATTGTTCAAATCATGTCCCCCGGGGGTAGGAAGGGACCGCGATAGAAATCCTAGTTTTACACAGGGAATCCTAGTTTAACATAGAAATACATGTATATATGAAAAAAAATCCTCCACTAGGCCAGAAAAGTTGAAACTTATGTGGAAGCATTCTTGGGTACATGTAGTGTAGATTCAAAATTGTTCAAATCATGAACCTTAGGGGTAGGGCGGAGCCACAATAGGGAATCCGATTTAATGACATTGGAATATATGGGAAAAAACTTTCAAAATCTTCTCAAGAACCACTTCGCAAGACAAGCTTTAACTTATGTGAAAGTATCCTGGGTAGTGTAGATTTTAAAATGTACAAATCATGACAACAAGGGAAGGACGAGGCATAATAAAATTCACGTTTTACATAGGAAAATATCGGAAAAAAACTTTAAAATCTTCCTCTTAAGAATCACTGGGCCAGAAAAGCTGAAACTTATGTGAATGCATCCTTGTACAAATCATACACGGGGAAAAGAGGGACCAAGAGAGTCCAAGTTTAACATGGAAATATACATTTCAAAAAATTAAAAATCTTATCAAGAATTACAAGGCCAGAAAAGCTGAAACTTATGTGGGAGCATTCTGGGGTAGTTTAGATTCAAATTTGTTCAAATCATGACCCATGGGCGACGGAGTCACAATAGGGAATCCAAGTAAATTACATTGAAGTACATGTATATGGGAGAAATCTTGTTCCAATCATGACCCTTTAGGATTGTCAAGGTCAAGATAGGTATAACAAAGGGGCACATTTGTTAAATCACAGAATGGCCAAGGTTACTCAGTTGAGCGATGCCGCCCATGGGCGTCTTGTTTTCAAAAACCATGTATATCAGAACTAGTGCAATGTTTGTGCACGTTAAATACGTTAAGCAACATGGATTCGAATATTAAATAAATGCAAGATAAGGGGCAAGAATAAAGTAAGACATGGATTCATTCAAAACTGAAAAACACTCCTTCAAATAGCCTTGATTACATATAATTATAAAAGCAGTATTCTTGATATGATAGTCATAAAAAATTTTTAATATGTTATATTTACACGTTGTACTTATCATGAACACCCTCAGAATTGACAGGTGTTAATACATAAAATACATACTACATGTAACTAGAGACATATCCAGGGTCTCCATCTGAAAGTTTTTTTTACGAATCCTTACACATGTATTTAAAAAAAATTCATTCATAAGTTAAGATAATTCTTGAAATAGGCAGAAGGGAAAAAACAACTAGTACATATATGAACAAACATTCACTTCTGTGAATAAAATTTTGTATAAATAAAAAAAAAATTAAAAAAAACATGCATCTGTGAAAAGAAAGATAACTAGTTTTGACATTCAGATTATGCAAGCAGTGGTGAATCCACAAATCTTAAAAAGTACCCGCAGCCACACCAAAAATTGATGTGATATTGCCGATATTTTGTCATTTTGTTTTTCCTCATAAAATTCACCGGGCTTGGTATATTTTTCTAAAGTTATATTACACTTTTAGCACCAAAGTAACGTATTCTGAAATTTATTTTCACTTGTAAACCTTTAGTGAGTGTTATATTTATTTTTATTATTGAAATATTACAACTATTTTATTTTATATTACAGTTCTTAGAATTATCCACTTTTCTAAACTTGTGACATGATATTAAGTCTCTTAATGTTTGTATCATCTGTCCTTGAAAAAATTGAGTCTTATTTACTCATAAATATTTTGTGAGTGGTATTTTAAAGTATTATTTAACAAGAAACACTGACTTTGTTTGTTAATGTGAGCGTGGGAAATTTTGATTAGTGCCCATTCTTCGTATTTTTCACAAACACGTTTCAAAAAATTGTTAGTTGACTTTCCTGCAGTCATTTGAAATTGCATCTTAAATTTCCTTGACCGTTTGCAGTAAAAATAAACATGTAGTAGACCATTATGCTTTTCGGCTCATTCACTGGACTGGACCATTGTGTGTTGTGGGCACCTTTTTGCGTAATGACAACAATATCCATATATGGTAGTTTATTCGATCTGTTAAACCTACACTTTCATGTTTATACGAAAGGTGTTTTGACATCACGTGTTACTTTGCAACCGATTGGAAATTTGTGTATGTTTGTGCTAGGACTCAGATGTTGAAGGCAACCTTAGCACTTACAATAATTTTACAGGTCTTGAACTCAACAATTTCAATACCAAGAGGAAAAAGCGTGGACGTCCATCTACAGTTTACAATACCATTTATAAGTCTGCACGGTATTTCTAACCTCCCACATATGCTGATTGACAACCAACCTGCACTGCAGATACGAATGGCTGTACATAACGCATCATCTTCTGTCTGTGATGGTCTTGAAAAAAAAGCATGTGATACTGATATATCTGCTTACAAATTCAATGAAAGTAAGAGATACAATACAGATATGTGGAAAGAGATTCACAAAATAAAAGTTAATAATGAAGACGATGGTGATGTTAAACCAAAAATTGACAAACACATAACGCTGCGTTTCAAGACTGGTCCAACATACGGCCTCGGAAGCAAAATATTCGAAGAAATTGGCTTATCAGACGTCCAGGCAAGTAAACAATTTATTTGTACCTTTTCAAACTGATTTCGCCAAATCTTAATTAGACAAACAGTGTTGAAAAAAAGTTTTTGAACAAGGTAAATGTAAACTCAATCTGTCCTATTAAAAAATGAAAAAGTGTTGCAAAATGTATGTTTAATAAGTCAAAGCAATATGCATATTTCAACTTAGATATATAATATGAATTTAAGATTCTTTTTTGAGAGGTTTAAGAGGTGTTTTGTCATGTTTTTAAAATACTTTTTTTTATATATATATAAAAGGTTTTTGTAGAAGACAGCAACTCATCATGGAAGGAAGCAATTTGTGAATCTCACACAGATCCGCATATGATGACGTTTGATAAAAAGTAGGCAAACACTTTCTGCATAGCATACCATATTATGACATTATATTGTTTAAAGAAAATTAAGAAGGAAGATCGTGTCCATTTAATTGTTTTACAAACAGACTGCAATACATACTTTATTGCTTGGTAATTTATTTCAAAACTATAGGCAGTTAGTGATTTATTTTTCTCACAATAGTAAATCACTTATAAGTAACTACTGTTCGTTCTATAAACATATAGAAATTGAACAGTTTATACTGAGAAGAATTTGCCTACTGCCTATGTTTGAGGAAAGACGGTTTTTCAATTTTAGACGAGAAATCCATCTTATCATATTTATTTCATTTTATGTCACCTGAGTCACTCTTGTGACCTATTTTTATCTATTTTCGACTGTCGTCAATCAGTGTAAACTTTTGAACATTTTCAGCTTCTTTTCTGGAACCGTTGAGAATACCAACCAATTTTTACGTATTACATCTATGGGTGAAGGGGAACTAAAATTATGAAAATCATGGCCGCTGTCTCACTGGGGTCTGAGGGGTGTGGCCAATACCACTTAAGTTAATGCAATTTTTAAAAAATCTTCTTCTTTACTCCTGGACATCGCCATAAAATGTGTTCCTCAAACCAAAAAAAAGCCCTTTACGTAATATATCAACTATGCAGATACGGAATTTTTAAAATAAAAATTTGAGCGCTATTATCTATACTAGCTATTTATTTAAAAAATTCTGTATATTTCTTTGTAGAAAGTACGAGTGTCAATTGGATGGAACCTTTGTATTGTACAGAAATGAGATCTACCAACAAGAGGTTTTAATTATTATTTTCATCTTAAATAATACGTTTATTGTGTATTATATTTATCTTAAAATTTCTGAAATAGTCAAAATACTTTTTCCCTACCAATTGTGGATTAACAACAGGCGTCTGAAATCTTGATCGTCAAAAGAAAAATTTAGAAAAAATGTTCCCACCCTGAACTAGAAAATTCCAGGATGGCAAAGAGTTTTTCGGGAGGGGTTCGCAAGGCAGACTGGATTTTTCATTCGAATTAATAGCACAAACTCTGCGGATACTGAATAACGATGTAGTCGCAAAATTGTTCTGACCAAGCCAAGATTTATTATGGGTCCCCCCAAAACATGTTGCATCCTTTTTTTTTAAACGAGGGTGGAAAATTTTTTTTCAGTCCAGATTTTTTTTTGGGATGACAGTAAAAAAAAATTCAGACTCCTGTGGGATGAACAGAAACAAAGATTCTAAATTTAATGATCCAAGTTATAGGTGGTTAAATGAGAAAAGAGAAAAAAAATAATCGTCAAATATTCTTTGCACTGAAGGAGGAATGTCACACAAACTTTTTATTTTATAGATCTCCAAGTGATACTTTTAAAACAATGGTTTCAGCATTGAAAGACAATTATTGGCTCAAAATCATTTTATATGATTTTTTTGTCAATCATTATTTAAAGAGAAATTGAAATGAAATTGCGAAATCTTCGAAAAATCTTTTTTTTTTCATATTTGAACCTTACCCGATCAAAATTAAAGAGACACCGTGATGCACAAAGGGGGAAGTTGACAAACGTAGAAATTTGCATGATTCGAGTAAATTTAATTCAATTCCTAAACGCTTTGTGTTTCATAAAATAACGGGTTTCAAAACCTTAAAAAAATCTATTTTTATGGAGAAAAATAAAAACAATTTCAATATAACGAAAATATTGCATTTACCTCTTTCTTTCTATTGTACACGTGCGCAGAAAATAATGAATAAGTTACCATAGTGACCATGGTCTTGAGCACCAAGGAAAAAGTGTAAGTAGACCAAAAATTTTAATGCAATCTTTTTCAAAAGTTGTTAGAACATATGTGACCGCGACTGGAAAAAAGGGTCCAGATGAGTAAAAAATCTAAATTAATTCTATTTTCTTTTTTAAATCAGGACACTTTGAATAACACAAATTCAAAATTTCATGCAAATATCATTGAAAATAAAGAAGATACAGGCCCAGGTATGCAGGCATCTTCCAGTCATATCCTAACGTCAGTGACGTTACCATAACATCGTAATTAGAAAAAAATATCTCAACACTTTCAGTCTACTGGAATATTAAGAACAATCACTTCTTTTTCTTTAAACTCTTCTTAAAATTTTGCTTAGATATTATGAAAATAAACTGAATCATTAAATATACTGTTATTCTTACCTATTACATATGACTGTTACTTATTACATATGGCTGTTGGAACAACTGAATTTGATTCAGAAGACTGACTTATTATCCTACCAGCATCGATGACCAACAAGAGAAAGGGAAGAAAAGATGCATAATGAACAAAATAATCCAACCATTTATTTTCAATAAAATAAACTCTAGAAACATGAGAAATGCAAGATAAATATGCAAATTGAAATTACATTCCCAAATAACAAAAAAGTTATTATTCGTAGTTATGACAGAATACACCAGGAATCACATAAATTACAGAATGACAGAGGTTCTTTGACAGCTGTAAGCAAAATCACAAAAATAGGAAAAGCAGCTAGGTAACTATTTTTAAAACAGACACTCTAAATATTGCAATCATGCATATTATGGATAAAATGTACTGTTATGATATTACAGATGTATGCATCTGTACTTTCTTAACATAGTCAACAGTATTAAGTATAAAGATTATAACAATTAAATTTTTGGGGGCAGTGTGAAAATGGTATCTTTTGAAAATTAAAAATCTGTCGTTAATCATTTTTGACAAAGCTTTGTAATATTTTTGGTTATACTAAATATATCCAAAGTGCATTTAAAGGAAAATGTCACAGAGAAGGTGCAAACATCAGTTAACAATTTTCATACTGTTACACATTTTTTTAACTGTTGAGATGTAACACTAAAACTCATAGGATACAGCTTATGTAAACAATTGAGTAACAATGCTAATTCCAACAAATGTTTTAAAGCACTGAAATTCGACTAACAGAAAAGTACATCAATGTAACACTTTACTGGAAGTAATACAATAGGAACTACATGTATACGTTTTACTTCTAATCTTTCTTACACAAAATAACCCTCCCTTTCTTCTAAGGAGAAGACTTTTCCTTTTCCCCAAGTGTGACGTAGAATGATCAGGTGAATAAACTTTCACCTCTTTCTTTGATATGACTGGTTTTGGGCATGATGTGTCTTTAGCAGAGAGTGATAGACAATGCTCACGGATTTCCTCATATAGGTACCATTGCGTCTTGGCCCCCATACCAGGTGCTGGGATTTCTTGAGGCAGAGGATCATTTACGATGGGAAGGATATTCTGATCTTTCAGGAGATTCACAAACAAAGGAACAGAATCACAAAGCTCCTTACATTCAACAACACCAGGAGTCTCAGCACTTACTTGGAAATGATGATAGCCTCGAATGTTTTTCAAGGGTTTGAAGAACTGTTCAATGTACGACTTCCAGTCCCTAAACTGCACAGGTGTTTGTGGATCTGACACGAGCTGAAGAATGTTATGGCCTCTGCGGGATGAATGACGGACTGTGTCTGCTATATCAGTCATGGTTTCTGCTGTAGATGAACGCCATTTTACTTTCCAGACTCCAAAATGCCAGTCAGGATCAAATTTAGTGTGTCCTGCCACCATCATAGAATATTGCACAATAACATGGAGTCCTAATTGAAAGGAAATACACTCCTTAATTTAAATACAAATGCTACATTTAGGAAGAGTTTGCATTTCTTTACTATCAAAACTGACATCATACATGTATGTAACACTTTGGGCATTGAACATCATGAACATACTGAATATCAAACAATGCTTTTACAAATTTTAATAATTAAAATCAAATATTTTTCATATGATGTACACTTACCTACAAGAACTCTCCGTAGAGCATACCATAAGACAAAGTTGTTTTTGTTTTGCCCACTGCAGTTGTCGAAATGAATGGATGCTGTTTTTTCTCCATATCCATGGTATTGAAAAAAGAGGTGAACCATACTAATGACAGAATAAGCACCCTTCCCTGTGTTCTCAGCCTCGTCAATCAAGTAGAACACTTGTTTTCCTAACTAAATAACTCAACCATTGACTTGTTTATTTACCTTAATATATGTATGCATTATGACAAAAATAGAATGTGTTTTGAATATTTTGCTGCAACTATATTTAATAGAATTCATAATAACTAGAATTGTTTTATTTTGACTCAGCCCCATACATGTATTATTCTATATTTGAAAGAGTATCCTCTTTACATATATATTTTAGATTGTACTTTTTCGTCAAATATTAGATTTCCACATAAAAGTTCATTAATAAAATTCTTATAAGAATTACATGTAAAGTTATTTCTGTATACAGGGCTATTTTCGCCCTTTCACAATTGGAAACAATTTTGCCTTGTTTTAAATTCGCCCACTTACAATTCTGTTCAAGAAATCATGCTGTGTATTTTTAATCCCCCCCCCGTTTTAAATTCACCCACTTGTGGGTAGGGCGAAAGGGGCGAAAATAAATCGGGGGCGAAAATTTCCTTGTGTACAATATATCATGACTTATGAATTAACATACCTGAACCCTCGTAACATACACCAAACGCATTGCATTTCCGGGGCGTCTTAAAAAATATTGGTCCCACTTG